TCTAAAATAAAGTACATCTGAGATGTAACTGACATCATTAGAACCAAAACAGTCTGGATCTACCTCCCATTTATAATTACACAATCAACTAAAAAGAGTAAAAAGAGCACCCGAACACACTCCTACAGAAGGAGACAAAAATAAACTACATAAAGGAGACTAAAAAATCAAACACACCTGGACTGAATATGGTTAGGCGGATAATGGGCTTTTGGGTTTTTTTATGCTTAGAATTGGGCCTATAAACATATGTGATATGGGCCTAATTGAATTTTTTTTATACCTAATGGTTTGCTATATGTACATGTATACCAATTGTCACCTACGAGCCTAATGGAAAAAAAATAAAAAATTGAGCATTTTACATTCGGTTCGGTTTGGTATTTACCGAACATAATAGATCCCATACTGAAACCGTACCCAAAAAAATTTGGTTACCGAAGGTCAATAAGCGAAAAAGTTAGTTCAAATCGTTTCTATTACCCATATTTCTCTCCTAAATTACAATTTACAAATTACTTTCTGCACTATTTATTCCTCTCTTTTTTTTTTTCGTTAATTAGTCCATCAAATTAAATAAACTCTTATAATATATTTTCTAACTCAACACCCGTGTAGTACACGGGTGTTGTACTAGTATATAATTATATTCAAGCACGCCCTAAACATACCTATGTTTTATTTAACAATACACAACTTGTGGCTTATATTTGGTCTGTAACTCTGTATGATAGACGCTGGCTGTTCTGTTAGCGGTCCAACCTATGAGTAGGGCTGCAAATGAGTCGAGCATTGATTTTATCGAGTTGAGTTGCTCGAGCTCAAGCTCGATTTATGATGCTCGAGCTTGACTTGATAAAAAAAATACAATAGCTCGAGCTCGACTCGAATTCAAAATGCTTGAGCTCTGCTCGAGTTCGGTACAAAAATTTTCAAGCAACTTTGTAAAATCACCATTAAGTACATATATTAGTATTATGATACATATATATACAAATGGTATTTTAGTAATTTAACATATATCTCCAGCAGCTCGCGAACCGATCGACAATGTAAAATATGGACTCAGTTCGACTCGAATTCATGCTCGAGCCGCTCAAGCTCAACTAGAGTTCGTCAAAATCGAGCTCGAGCCGAGTTTTGACTCAAGCTCTCGCGAGCGGTTCGCGAGCTGCTCGACTCATGTGCAACCCTACTTATGAGCATCGATTTGTGCATCATGCACACATAGATTTCAACGGCAATTAGCCCACCTAAACTTTTATCAGCCAATCACACCTCTCAATTTGGGGTTAAGGGGGGCTGCTGTGAGTCACTAACAGCAGCCCCAGCTGTTAAACATGAGCCATTAGATTTATTCTAATTAAAATAGATCTAAGGGCTATAAATAAATAACAAATAAATTAAACGAACAAATAAATAAATAGATCTCTGCACAAATTAATTTGACGAGTTTTTGGAGATTGATCGAGAACACAAAAATTATGGCAAAAAATATGAACATGAGAAGACAAGAGCGGTGGCGCCGCTGCCGAAGAAGCCGATCCTGAAAATTTTTGGAGTTGATTTTACAGGTAAACATCGTGGGACGATCCTGAAAATTTTGTTCAAGAGAGGTTCTTGGACTCGGAAGTTGATTTTAGAGGTAAACATTTTGAGTTCATCTCGTTTGACGCTGTTCGAAGGTGATGCCCTGGGATTATGTTCGGGTTTGCAGTTGACAAGCTTGGGCTAGCCAAATTGGTGCATCATTTCATTTTTAAACTGACTGGTGGAGAAAAAAGAGAGGATTTGGACATGAGCAAAATTGGGGGAATGAAATTCATGAAAAGCTTCCAATTCATGAAAGGCGTGTGTGCCATATTAAGTGTGTTGCGATTTCTAAATTTGAGGAAATAAAAGAAAGAAAGGAAATGAAATTAAACCAGTTAGACATGTTTCAAAACCTTGCAGCACGCTTACAGTAACAGGATTAATTAATTAGAGTTATTATTAGTTTATTAAGTATAAAGATAATTTATTTGTTAGTATTTGTTTATAACTTTGAATCTCATTTAAATTACAGTCCATCTATGGTCATAAATTAATTGGGCTGCTGTTAATGACTCAAAGCAGCACCCCCTCACACCTCAATTTGCCTCATATAATCTCTCTTTTCACGTGGCACATCTCCCTCCTCATTTCCTGAAAAAAGTGTTTATTTTCTCACCCAAAATAAATTGAAAATGTAATGCTTTTAACTTCGATTCTCCACCACCATTTTCTTTCTCTCTCCGGATTGCAGCCTCTGCAAATCTGCACACTCTCAAAGATCGCATAACACTCCCAAACATCATAAAGAATGTATCTTTAGGTATTTTGATTCAATTAAAAATGACTACTTTTTCAGCATCTTTTACGGCTGCTACTCTGCCTGAGCTAATCTTTCTCTCCCCTCAAAACCCAACAAAAAGAAGAAAGCTTTCTCTCTCTAGAGTCCATTATCTTGAGCCCAGAGGCAGGACCAGGATTCTTGCAAGAATCCGAGCTGTCCGGAGAGAAGAAAGTGTTGTTCTCGATGAGAAAGACAGAGAGTTGGAGATTAAGCTAAATGCCGGTGTGAATGGTAATGGAAAACCCGGTTACAGTAATGGCTTTGCTGGGAATTACACTAATGGGAGCGTGGAAGTTGGGAGTGGAGATAGCAATTTGGTGAAGCGTTTGAATGGGGTTGAGAATGGAAGCGTGGCTGCGAGGAGTGTAGTGGAAGTAGTGAAATTGGATGAAGTGGTTAATGAGAAGAAGACTATAGAAGAAATTGGACAAGAGGACGCTTGGTTTAAGAGAAAAGGCCAAGATCAAGTTGAGGTATGTCATAAATTGATGGAATTAGTGAAATTGATGGAATTAGTGGAAGTAGTGAAATCTGAACTAGTGTCTAGTGAGCTTGACGTGCTTGTTAATTTGTCTGATGGAATTACTTTGTTAGATAAGTTTTTGTGCATGTCTAGATGGTTGTTACAGGCCCTTGTTAATGGATTTTCACTAATTATAATTATTTTATTGTTGTTGTAAGTTCTTTGTTTATGAATTAAATATAGGATTTTTTTTTTTTTACTTTATTTAATTTGAATGCTTCAAGTCTTCATAACTTGATTGTTGCATTGTAGGTTTATTGAGCGGTTTAAATTTTGTCTTATGACTGCAAATGAGCTATGTGGTTGAGGAGAGAAACCTTGTTTTGCTAATGTACTCGAGGCGAGCGCATGTCTAATTGAATGGTTTATGAATTTGTCAAATTGGCCAAGCAATGTATATATAGAATAAAAAATATTTTTTCAATTGTCTTTTTTGGGAAGCAAAATGCTGTTTCATATTGACTTTTTGAAGAGAACATATTCTTATTGTCCTTGTTTAAGTGATTTTTTTTTTTTTTTACTTTCTATTTCTGGTTTCTAATGAGTTTTATGACTGCAAATGTGTAGGAATGTGTAACTGTGAACAGCCCCTTTTTCCAAGCCAAACTGATACTGAACAAATATATTTATGTTAATGTTGCAGGTATCTGTTGCCCCTGGTGGCAGATGGAACAGATTCAAAACATACTCAACTATTCAAAGGACTGTAGAAATTTGGGGATTTGTTTTCAGCTTCATATTCAAGGCTTGGTTGAACAATCAGAAGTTCTCATACAGAGGTTAGCTGCTTCAGCTATCAGATTGCTAATTTTCCGTGTGGAGCTCCTTAATTTTTCCTCGAATATGTCTTATGTGGAAGGTTTACTAATAAGTAAATTCTATTTAGTTGGCTAAGCCGAATTCCTTAATAAGATAATTTTTTATTGGCTGTTGCAGGTGGAATGACAGAGGAGAAAAAGACTAAGAGGAGAAAGGTACTGGCCAAGTGGTTGAAGGAAAGTATATTGAGGTTGGGCCCCACTTTCATTAAAATTGGCCAGCAGTTCTCGACACGAGTAGACATTCTTGCTCAAGAATATGTCGATCAATTGTCTGAGCTTCAGGTAACAATCGGCACCCCTAAGTATGATGTTTATCTCTTTAAGTTCTTTATCTGTCATTCTTTTTTCCTTTTTTCTTGGTGAGCTTTTTGACCAAGCAAAATGTAGTAAAAATTGCTCCCTACATTAGTTTCACCACTGCAAGTTTCTCCTTTTCCAGGATCAAGTTCCTCCTTTTCCATCAGAAACAGCTGTGTCGATAGTCGAGGAAGAACTTGGAGATTCTGTAGATGGCATATTTGATAGATTTGACCAAGAGCCGATTGCTGCTGCAAGTCTTGGTAATAATGATTCATTGCTAATATACTGTGATATATTAAACTTCATCTAATTCGAAAAGGTTATGTTTATCAGACTAATGGTAACTCTTCTATAGGTCAGGTTCATCGTGCAAAATTTAGGGGACAGGAAGTTGTCGTAAAAGTACAAAGACCTGGGCTGAAGGACCTGTTTGACATTGACCTTAAAAATTTGAGGGTTGGTTTGCTGACTAAGTTCTTATTATATTTGTTTTAATATTCTTGTTTTTCACCATTCTTTTCATTTTCTTTTTCCTTTTTCTTTTAAATTGATTTTTTTTTCTAATACATCAAGTATGATAAATCTACTCTGACTTGCGTGGTTGAGATTTTTGGCCGAAGTTTTGATCGTTTGGCATTTTGTTCTGTGCAGGTGATAGCTGAATATCTTCAGAAGATTGATCCAAAATCTGATGGTGCAAAAAGGGATTGGGTGGCTATCTATGACGAATGTGCAAGTGTCTTGTATCAGGTGACTGGTTAACCATGCTCACACTTAGACTTTTTGTATTTGATAATTCACTAATTTCTAACCAACAGCAATCTTATTTCTCGTTTTTATGATGGACATATTGTGTAATAATTTTTTACGCTAGTGTAAATTTTAAATAAGAAAGGGGATTAATTAATCTCATTTTTTGCAAAAGGATTGATGAAGGATAACGGGATATGCTACAAACAGTGTCTTAAATTTGATGCACATGGCTTTTGGGGAAGTTTTAGTAATTAATGGAAAGGAATTTATGCTTTAACATATTTCAGGAAATTGACTACACCAAAGAAGCTGCAAATGCCGAGCAATTTGCAAATAATTTCAAAGACATGGATTATGTGAAAGTCCCAACCATATATTGGGAATACACAACCCCACAGGTTCAAAAATCTTTGCCGAAATGTCCAATTTTCTGGTTCTTTAGTTACGGATTTCGTGTAGATGATAATATTTTCCAACCACGAGTTCCTTTTCGTTTTCTGTAGGTTTTGGTGATGGAATATGTTCCTGGAATCAAAATTAACCGTATACAAGCTCTAGATCAGTTAGGCGTTGATCGAAAGAGGTGTTATAACCATCTTTGATTAACTATTTTGATTATTAAATTGTTGTTATTGAGTTCAACATCTTTGTACTGTTTTTGAATATTTGTTATCCAACCACCTCAAATTATGCTCCTTTATCTGATAAAATACTTTTAGAGCTTATAAGATGTCTTGGAGATGCTTTGCCCAAATGTCCTTTGGCTGTCTTTTGAACAATAATCATATTTATAATCAGTATTATTTTGGTGCTGGTTGAATTTCATTAGGTTGGGACGGTATGCTGTAGAATCTTACCTGGAGCAAATTCTGTCTCATGGCTTTTTCCATGCTGACCCAGTAAGCAGTAGTCCACTAAGCTTTAGTTTCATGAGATTGTTTAAATACTTCCTTTTTTTTTCTTCTTTTGGTGTGTGGGTTTTTTATAAGGATCTTCCTACTTATATTGTTACTATAAAATCAAGTTTCAGTGAAGGAATGGTCAATCTCGCAAGAATTAAAAGAGAATAGCATTGCATGCAATTGATTCGACTATTTTATTACTTGAATACTGTGATATTGGATCTGATTGCTTTTGGACTAACCATTTTAACTGCTNATCCTGGAAATATTGCTGTAGATGATGTTAATGGTGGAAGATTAATCTTCTATGATTTTGGAATGATGGGAAGGTACGTTTAAAAAATGTTTTTTTGTGCTTGGAATTTTGCCATTTTTTTTTTGGGTGACGGGTAGGGAATATCTTGGTTCTGTTACAAGAAAGTGATTGACCTTGAGTTTCTGCAGTATTAGTCCAAACATCAGAGAAGGTCTGCTGGAAGTATTTTATGGGGTTTATGAGAAAGATGCTGAAAAGGTCCTTATTGCCATTTTTTTTCTTTTAAGTTATTGGTGTTTTAGTAAACAGCAAACCTCCAATTATTGGTCAACATGTGTTTATATTTTCTTTTGACTGAAGAAAATGCTTAAACATGATGCAGGTTCTTCAAGCTATGGTGCAAATGGGTGTTTTGGTGCCTACTGGAGATATGACTGCCGTCAGACGAACAGCTCAGTTCTTTCTCAACAGGTTTTCCCACTGTAGCAAATTCGTTTTTTTTTTCCTAGCATCATGATTTTCTACTTTCAACCTTGAAATGGTCCATATCTCCATTCTCCCCCAAAGAATATATCTACTAATTTATGGTTTAATTATAAAACCCA